CCCCCCAAAAGGAAGTAAATTATAGTTGCTCTCCTCCATCCCTCTAAATTCTTGTATTTTCTTCATCTCCAAGTCTGGGAGTATTAGCATCAGTGAAACTAAAGGAGAATTTTAAATCTGTGTACATTTTTACATATAGATGTATAATTTGTACACACTTCCATTTCTCACCTCTTAAGAGGTCTTTGAACTGTGATAGAATTGAAATCAGGCACTTGTTTTTCTTCTGGTGAGGCTTATTTCTAAAAGTAGAGACATATTAGGGGAAAAAGATAGAGATCTATGATAGTTAAGTGATAGAGAGATGATAGATTCGTGGGTAAGCGACAAGAGAGATTGAGAGGTGGTCCATAGATAAGCAGACAGATGGATGCCCTGTGCGCCTGTCAGCCAGTTCCACAGCCTCGCATGGAGAGCAGAACTGGTGAGGGGACCACTTCTGCTCACCTGGGGAGCTTCTGCGAGTGAGACTGCCGTGAGGAGTTTCCAGCTTGACCTCTGTCCTGGCGAAAGGGCTGTGGTCCGAGGGAAGACGCGCTCGGTCACCCTGTCCTTCTGTCTCGCAGAACCCTGACATGGAGGTGGATGAGAACGGGACCCTGGACCTGAGCATGAACAAACAGCGGCCGCGGGAAGGATGCTGCCCGATCCTGACGCCCCTGGAGCCCATGTCCCCCCAGCAGGCAGTGGTGAGCAGCCGGTGCTTCCAGCTGAGTGAGGGGGACTGCTGGGACCTGCCCGTGGACTACACCAAGATGAAGCCCCGCAGGATGGACGGGGACGAGTCCAAAGAGCTCACCGTAGGTCCCTTCTTGGAGCCCCGCCCCCGCCCGCCCTGTCCGCCAGCGGGCGTCACCGAGGGAAAACACCCCGGTGCACGCCTTAGCAGAAACGGTCTTTTCCCTTTTAGCTGACTGGAGCTTAGAAGACGTTTTTGGTTAATGCGCGAGAGGTTTGGGAGAAACACTGATGAGAGTGAAACAAACCACTGACTCCTTTGAATGATGAATTTTATTTTCCAACAAGTGTGTTTTGTTGCAAACAATTTCTCTGAGAAAATGTGTGAACTGCTTACCAATTCATTTTCCTGGGTGATAAATTGATAGAATGCAGGGTTTTCCTTGCAAGTAAGGAATAATGAGACTCTTAAATGCTTGCATGTTTAATTCTGTGTTGTTAATTAGCTAACTCCTTGAAGCTAGGGACAGGGAAGTGAAAGTCGCTCAGTCGTGCCCAACTCTTTGCAACCCCATGGACTGTAGCCCATCCGGCTCCTCTGTCCATGGGATTCTCCAGATCAGAACACTGGAGTGGGTAGCCATTCCCTTCTCCAGGGGATCTTCCCAACTCAGGGATCAAACCCAGGTCTCCCACATTGCAGGCGGATTCTTTACCATCTGAGCTACTAGGGAAGGACAGGGTCTGTTTCCAAAACACCCAAAATATGCAGAAGAGTGCCCTGCCGCCTAGAATAAATTATTTTTGTACAGTCACCCAAATATTTGTTGATTACAACATTACCAAAAACACCTACGTCAGGAACATATTTTTGAAGTAGTTACAATTTTCAAATTCAAATCATTAAAATAGTTACAATTTTCTTTAGGCTAAGAAAATAAATGAAAAAAGAATTGTTCTTTATTAGACTGATTTTTTTCTCCAGTGTTCAATTCTGAAAGTTATGACATCTCCTTTATTCCCTGAAAAATGAAAATTCTTTTTGAACACAATGGGGAGACCACCATCAAAGCCATAGTATCTTACAGAAACAGAGAGGTGGGTAAAAAGGAAACATTAGCTATTTGTAGGAATTGTCAGGGAAGGTACCTGTTTATAAGGCCATTACATCTGAAGCCTATTATGTTTATTCTTCAAATTGATTTAAATATCCAGGAGAATAGAATCTGAGTGGCAAGCTAAATTCCAAAGTACTTTTTCTTCCCTAAAACGTTGAATTGTTACTACCAAATAAGGCATGGTAGTTGAGTCTCTGAATTTATTTTAATTAAAATTAAGCCCCCATAAAAAGACAGCAGCTTTGCCCTCGTCAGGTGTCACACAAGTGAAACCCTGCACTCAGGAAACACGTTTGCTGAACATCACCACCTATAGGAATTTCTAGGTTACTGCAAGGGGCCCCTCTTAGCTTGAGAATATTCTATTAAAAAAAATTTTTTTTTAATGCTGCCTAACAGTAATTTTTCACGTGGACGGAGGAGCCTGGTAGGCTGCAGTCCATGGGGTCGCGAAGAGTAGGACACGACTGAGCAACTTCACTTTCACTTTTCACTTTCATGCACTGGAAAAGGAAATGGCAACCCACTCCAGTGTCCTTGCCTGGAGAATCCCAGGGACGGGGGAGCCTGGTGGGCTGCTGTCTATGGGGTCACACAGAGTCGGACACGACTGAAGCGACTTAGCAGCAGCAGCAGCAACAGTAATTTAAACTCACAGCATCAATCTATGTTGGTCTTCCCTTGCCTTGGGACTTAAAGCATGTAGAATACTTCCACAGTGTGGAACACTTTACCAAAGGTTGCCAGACGCCCCAGGTGTCTTTGCGTGTAAAGCTTAAGTTCTGCCTGTCAGTGCTGGATTCAGTGCTGCAGGTCTTGAACCCGGTGAGCAAGGTCCGCTGAGTAGTTGGTTTGGCTGCCAGGCCGCTTCTCTGCCCCTCCTGTCTGTGCAGCTGCAGGAATTAGAATTTCCCCACTGAACTAGGGGTTTAGAGCAAGTGGTGAGAGACAAGTGGCGCATAGACCAAAGATGCTTTTTGAACGAAACTGGGTTTGCATCCTCGGGACGAGAGTGTGTTGTGATTTTTAAGGGTAAGGTTGGGACACGGTTGGGGGTGGGGGGGAAACGCAGCCTCCAGTCCATGTGTCCAGGGTCTTCTGTGGCCCTGAAGCTGTGTTTCGCCTGCAGCCAGAAGACTTGGACCCCTTCCAGGAGGCCCTCGAAGAAAGAAGGTACCCAGGGGAGGTGACCATCCCAAGCCCCAAGCCCAAGTACCCCCAGTGCAAGGAGAGCAAGAAGGACCTGATAACGTAAGCACAGCGCGCGGCGGACGGTCGCTCCCCCGAGCCCCTCCTCTGGCTCACCTCTACCCGGGTCTGTATCTGCCTTGCCGTCTGAGCATGCGACACGCACAGTGCACAGATGTCCCCAGGGGCCAGGCGGGTGGGTGACAGGCCAGCCGTGGACGCTTGTTCTGAGCGATGCTCTGTGCTATGGAGACACCATTTCCATGTGACCCTGTGCATTTGCAGCTTTCTTCAGGCAGCTTAAACCCGTGCAGACATTGCAGCTAAACTGGAAACAATGAAACTTTTTTCAAGTTTATTTTTTTTTTGGAAACATGCTTACTACTCTGGCTGTTTTTGTTTTTGTTTGGTGGCAGATGTCCAACACCAAGGTGTGATGGGAGTGGTCATGTGACTGGTAATTACGCCTCACATAGAAGGTGTGCCTTCATTTTTCTCATGGTGGATTCTGTCGTTTCAATTTATTGTTTTCAGCTTACCTCAACAATGCTGTCCCAGTACAAACGTTGACTTCTGTGTCACCCCTTTAAGTGCTATATGTTGACCTTCAAAAGCATGCTAATCGACATGTTCTATAAAGTCTTTAATCTCGAAGCAAGCTACCTAAATTTGGAAAATGATTTACAGACGTTGAGACCAAAGAGCCCAAATATTTGAATCTTACTTTTTCAAATGGTTTCTGCAAATACATGCTTCCTTAAATGTCTATGGAAACATGAATTAGTTCATTGCACCAACAAAATTCAATATACAGCACTTGCCCCATCGCTTTTCTGCATTCAACTTTTTGATTTCAGTTACATGTTGTGTCTGTTGGGGACGTACGCTGGGCCTCGGGGCTTCTCACCGGACTCTTCTGGCCTCTTACAGTCTGTCGGGCTGCCCGCTGGCTGACAAAAGCATTCGAAGTATGCTGGCCACCAGCTCACAAGAACTCAAGTAAGATTTAACGAAAATCCTTCTCTTTCTAAAGTCTGTTCACTTAGTGCTAACAAAAGGGGTATGTCGTTTGAAAAGAAACATGTGTTTACCAAGAGCTGTGTGCACCAGCGCAACTCAGCACACATGTACGTTCTTGAGGATTTTGGTCACCTGTGTGGGCAATCCATCTGCCTTTTCCCTTTCGTTTACCTCTAGCTTTTTCATATCACATCCTTTCCATCTTGAATTTTCTAAAGCATAGGTATTTTCTCTCCAGGTATGCATGCACATGGAGTTTTACAGCGTTACTCAGACTTTAAGGAAGCGATTATCATGTGAAAAGTGAGAAGCTGATATTTTTAAAAGTCAGTGCTTAATATGATCATTTTTAGAATGGATATTTAAATAGGACGAATAACCAAACCCCGCCATGATCCTAGCTAATTCCTTCAGTGCACTGTGGTCATTAGCTACGGATGCTCATTAGGGCAGCCATAACCCAACTAAGGCTTCACCAGCACACACAGCGTGGCCCTCTCTCCTCTGCGCCTGTAACTGTCTCTGGGTTTTCAGCGTGGGTCTGGTCAGCTGCATCCACACAGCCAGACTACGGGTTGTCTTTTCTGTGTCTCTGTAGATGTAAGTAGGTAGATGAATGTATTCACATTCAGCTCCTAGGCAGGTTTTGGAAGAAGTCAGGCCAAGCCCCAGCCCGTGTATTAAGACCTGCCGTCATCTAGTCGAAACGGACATTCGAGTATCTGTCAGGAGAACAAGGGCGAGAGGAGCTTTCCGCAACCTGATGAGAACCAAGATTCCCCAGTCATGGTTTTTAATTACCTGGCCTTTTATAAAAAGCATCACGTCAAATTGCTTAGCTTCTGTTTCGTTTTCAAAGGGCTTTCCTTCTGATGCAGAAAAAATTCTGCTTTCAGACCCCATTGGGCTCCCTCCCCCGGGACCCCCCCCCTCCACGGCAGAGCAGGGCGTGGTCCGCGGGGTGGAGGCTCCGTTTCACTCCGTGTCGTTTCTTACAGGACCCCTGTCCAGGGCCCTAGCGCCATAGACCACCTGCTCATGTTCAGTGACCTCCTGAACTAGCCCTCCCGCCACCAGACCCTGGAGTTCTCTTCATGGCGTGTAAACACCGGGAGGGCGTCCTCTTGCTTGATGGCTGTGCGGTCTGTAGCCGTCCACGCAGTGCCTGGCGGACACGTAGCTTAGGACCTCAAATGGACAGCGTTAGCAAGAACCACCCAGCCCGCTCTGTTAAGACCTCCTTTTCCGGGGCTTGAGACCATGCTCCCCTCACGACTGAAACGGGGTTAACCGCACTCGGACCCTGGCTAACACTGCAGCACACGGCGACTTCCGTCTGCCTCTCGCTGAGGAGGGCGTCTCCAGTCCCAGCAGGCCAGCTGTAAACGGGACAGCCTGTGGACAGCTTCCTGGGAGCGCGGCTTCTCCTTGGTGGCCTCTAGGTCGGAGACCTGAGCAGGCTTCCGGCGGGTCTGGCTCCCTTTGGTTTGCCTCCGTAGCCTTTGGGCTTAGAAGCTCCAGGTAGACCGGCTTCTCCTCCCGGGTTGGTACTTCCTTCTTGCCGCATCTCTCCTTGGAGGCCGGGATGATGTCCACACCATCAGCATCTTCAGAGGGGGTCCGCCCTTCACAGCCTCCTGTGCAGGGTGGACGTCCCTTGCCCCCTCCCTGGCCCTCCCGGAGGGGAGGCCATGGTGGCCTTTCCTGCTTCCAGCTGGTCTAAAAGCCTCTGTCACCTGTAACTTGTCACTTGTCTTTGCAGCAAGTAAATCTCATTTCGACTGACCCTTTTCCCAGGAAATCCAAACTTGACAAGTTTTCTGAAATGCTGTTTCACCTCCATGTCTACTATAAATAATCTGATATTTAAACAACCATTTTTCACTTGATGATAAGTCTTTCTCAACTGAGGATACCTTAGATTATACTGTCCCCCCCCCTCCACGGCAGAGCAGGGCGTGGTCCGCGGGGTGGAGGCTCCGTTTCACTCCGTGTCGTTTCTTACAGGACCCCTGTCCAGGGCCCTAGCGCCATAGACCACCTGCTCATGTTCAGTGACCTCCTGAACTAGCCCTCCCGCCACCAGACCCTGGAGTTCTCTTCATGGCGTGTAAACACCGGGAGGGCGTCCTCTTGCTTGATGGCTGTGCGGTCTGTAGCCGTCCACGCAGTGCCTGGCGGACACGTAGCTTAGGACCTCAAATGGACAGCGTTAGCAAGAACCACCCAGCCCGCTCTGTTAAGACCTCCTTTTCCGGGGCTTGAGACCATGCTCCCCTCACGACTGAAACGGGGTTAACCGCACTCGGACCCTGGCTAACACTGCAGCACACGGCGACTTCCGTCTGCCTCTCGCTGAGGAGGGCGTCTCCAGTCCCAGCAGGCCAGCTGTAAACGGGACAGCCTGTGGACAGCTTCCTGGGAGCGCGGCTTCTCCTTGGTGGCCTCTAGGTCGGAGACCTGAGCAGGCTTCCGGCGGGTCTGGCTCCCTTTGGTTTGCCTCCGTAGCCTTTGGGCTTAGAAGCTCCAGGTAGACCGGCTTCTCCTCCCGGGTTGGTACTTCCTTCTTGCCGCATCTCTCCTTGGAGGCCGGGATGATGTCCACACCATCAGCATCTTCAGAGGGGGTCCGCCCTTCACAGCCTCCTGTGCAGGGTGGACGTCCCTTGCCCCCTCCCTGGCCCTCCCGGAGGGGAGGCCATGGTGGCCTTTCCTGCTTCCAGCTGGTCTAAAAGCCTCTGTCACCTGTAACTTGTCACTTGTCTTTGCAGCAAGTAAATCTCATTTCGACTGACCCTTTTCCCAGGAAATCCAAACTTGACAAGTTTTCTGAAATGCTGTTTCACCTCCATGTCTACTATAAATAATCTGATATTTAAACAACCATTTTTCACTTGATGATAAGTCTTTCTCAACTGAGGATACCTTAGATTATACTGTGGCTTTTTCTCGTTAATCTTTTAATGGATGACACCCCTCCATCTCTGGCTTTTTCATGCGGCCACAAAGGCTCTCCCTGCACAGAAGCAGAGATTAATCCTTTAGGATTTGCAGCTGCTTCCTCTAGAATAATTCACGCACGTGCCCCTTTAATAGCTTATTCTTTCCATGTATATTTTCAGCAGTCTGGTTGATTCCCACTGCACAGCCTCTTACCTGGTTGAGTCCTCGTGTGAGTCAGTGGTCACCACCTCTTCATACAGACACCTTTGGGTCTCAATTGCCTCAAAATTTGTTCTCTCTTCTGCATCAACTAAGAAACAGAACTTTCTGAAAACATTCTTCTTGTCACTTCTAACGTGGACTTTTGTTAGTTGGCTGTTAACAGGACATTCTTGATATCAAACAGGCAACAAGTTTTGCCAGATACACTCTGGGTCTTGGGTCACCCATCCTCTTGAACTTCCTGAGATGACACTTTCCCAGAGCAGCGCATGTGGGATAGTCTTAAGAAGCAGCCGATCATTGTGTCGACTTGTGTACAATATGTAAACTGAACGTGTATTAAAATGTAATGTGTTTGTGAATATCACTCAGACTCTGCAGCTATTGCTTTCTCATCCCTGGTCCATGGGCCACAGAGGGGCAGGTCGGCGACCAGGCAGGAGGCAGGTGATGGCACAGGGAGGGGGCCCGGAGGCAGGCGGGATTCCCCAGCCTCCCACGCTGACGCTCACGTTCTAGCGTCCCGCCCACGCTGACGCTCACGGCCTAGCGTCCCGCCCACGCTGACCCTCACGGCCTAGCGTCCCTCCCACTCTGACCCTCACGGCCTAGCGTCCCTCCCACGCTGACGCTCAGGCCTAGCGTCCCGCCCACGCTGACGCTCACGTTCTAGCGTCCCGCCCACGCTGACCCTCACGGCCTAGCGTCCCTCCCACGCTGACCCTCACGGCCTAGCGTCCCGCCCACGCTGACGCTCAGGCCTAGCGTCCCGAGCACACTGACCCTCACGGCCTAGTGGCCCGCGCACGCTGACCCTCACGGCCTAGCGGCCCGCCCGGGCTGACCCTCACGGCCTAGTGGCCCGCGCACGCTGACCCTCACGGCCTAGCGGCCCGCCCGGGCTGACCCTCACCTGAGCCTAGCGTTCCTCCCACGCTGACGCTCACGGCCTAGCGACCCCCACGCCGCCCCGCCCTCCTTGAGAGAATCCTTGACTGTGACAGTCTTTGAGACCCCAGGCAAGGGGAAAAAAGGGAATAAAATCGTCCAAACAAATGTGATTTTTTTGATGAAAACTCCGCCTAATATAAGTCAGCTCTGATGCTCAAGAAGAGTTTCTTCCCTAAAACTTGTCCTGGCTGAGATCACCTGAGCGTAGCCACAGAAGAGACCTCGTAAATCACTTCGTATCATCCTCAGTGTTGTTTGTTTTTAAAGAAACCATATCCTCCCAGCCAGGAGTTCTTTTTCCTACTCCCCAATGCAAGATCAGTGCAGACACGGGCATGACCTAAGTGTTAGCCATCTCTGTGACCAGTTTAAACTGAATCAAAGTTGATTCAAATCAGAAGCAATTATCTCTAGAAATGGGCCCCCAAACTGGCTCCTGTTTACACTTGGAGTTGGGGGGACACAGTAGACCCCCTCGTTGCTTCTGTCTTTGTCTTCCAGACCCAGAACCTCTATGGTTCATGCAGGTCCTGGCAGGAGAAGGAACTGTCGACCTTGGTTCCCTTTCCCGCTGAGTCTGAACTTGTACTCAGTCCTCGGGGGTGGGGGTGAGTCTTCCTCTTGGTCTCTGCCCTTTAGAACATTCTTGTGTGTTCTGTTCCGGGGCACCTCCCCCAGGTATTTTCACCTTAGACAGAGGAATTTTAATCATGTACATCACATAACATTGTTTTTTAAAACCTGGTTACGTTTATTTAAATCGAAGAATTAGAATTCTGAACTTGAGGCAAGACATGACTTTTCTCTAAAGGTTACTTGTTTCTAGAACTTTCGAGGGTTTCCTCACCAAATGTGGATGTCGT